CAGTAGAGCGCGCCGGGGCGGGGCGGAGGACGAGCCCCGCCCAGACACGTGCTGCCTTTGTTCCCGCCGCGGCGCTGCGGGCGGAGTGAGGACCCGGCCCGGGATAAAGGCCGCCGCCCCGGACACCGCCAGCACCGGCCGGCCAGTCGCCCGGCACCCCTGCTGTGCTGCATCTTGGAGCTCCCACCGCATCCTGTCGGATGGGACTTGCAAGCCTCTCTCATCTGTGGGGTCAGAATTGAAGGAGCTGCGCCTCCAGTCAGTAATGTAACCAACCACTTTCCATTCTCAACATGTAGAATTTGAAACTTGGTAAGGAAAATTCTAGTTCTGATTGCAGACCCGTAGCTCACAAACGCTCCAGATCCTTCCCAGAGGCCATTGTTTATTTAGTATTCACTCATTTGGGTTTGGTTCTGGACACTCACACCTAGTCAGCAAGCCGCACACCTTAGCATCTCTAGACCAGAGAATTCCTGACCGTGCCTGCATCAGAGCCAACCAGCCAACCACCCAAGGACAGGAAAGGAATCTTGTGTCATTGGGAGCAACACTACCAAGTTAGAAAGTGCCAGTTTCTTCCTATGCTACCCAAAGATTTCTCTACCAACAGTGGCTGAAAGATTTGAGGGCCTTGGGGACCAGGGTAGAAAATGCAGTTTTGTACCAAAACAACTTTCTCCATGGCCTGAGCAAACACCACAGCAGGTATGGTCACTTGGAGGAAGGCGAGCTTAGCTCAGTGTACCCCTTCCTGTGAAAGTCCCTCTGGAACAACTGTCTTACCGGTTTTTTAAATTGGAGCACAGTACCTGACGCTGGGTAATCTATAAATTAGCCTACAAAACTGGAGGCTAAACGTCCAAGATCCCGCGGTAAAATATGCTGTGGTGAGTGGGCATCTGCTCAAAGGAGCTTTCCAGGCTTCCACTCACAGTGGGGGGCTGGAGGACAGGCAGTAAAAGTAGTACTTGTTGGGCTGAAAAGATGGCTCAGCAGTTAAGAACACTCACTGACTGCTCTTGCAGATGACCTGTTTGATTCCCAGCACCTACATGGCAGCTAATGCTCATCCTAATGCCAGGGAGTCCAACACCTCCTTCCGACCTTAGAGGGCATTTCAGGACATGGGTACACTTACACACATGCAGGCAATACACTCATACACATAAAATAATTTTAAAAATTAAACATTTAAAAAGTACTTGTGGGATTGAGAGGTGCCAAGCTGGCTTTTTAACAACCTACTCTCCCCATAATTACCCACTCTCTGGCAAGAACTACATTAACCCCTTCAATGAGAATAGTTGGATCTGCAAGTAGCTTTTCGTGAGGTTTTTGGTTGTTTTTTTAAAAGTCAAGGTCTTGGGGCTGGAGAGATGGCTCAGCAGTTAAGAAGACTGACTGTTCTTGCAAAGACCCGGGTTCGAATCCTAGCACCCACATGGCAGCTAACAACTGTCCATAACTTCAGTCCCAGGGGATCTGACAGCCTCTTCTGTCCCCCAAGGGCATTGCACAACACGGGTGCACTTACCTACATGGAGGCATAACACTCATACACATCAAATAAAAATAATAAAGTATTTTTTTAAAAAGACAAGGTTGCATGGCACACGCCTTTAATCCCAGCATTCGGGAGGCAGAGGCAGGCGGATCTCTGTGAGTTCAAGGCCAGCCTGGTCTACATAGTGAGTTCCAGGACAGCTGGGGCTACACGGAGACCCTGCTTCAAAAAAGACCAAAAAAAAAGGCAAGGCCTCAAGGCTGAAAAGATGGCTCAGTGGTTAAGAACACTGGTTGTTCTTGCAGAAGACCTGGGTTTGAATCCCAGCAGCCACACGGCAGCTAACAACTGTCTGAAACTCCAGTCCTGGGGATCCAACAGCCTCTTCTGACCTCCGCGGGCATTGCAAGACATGGGTGCATGCAGGCATTACATGCATACACGTGAAATAAAAATAATAAAATTTTTTAAAAAACTTCTGGCTTATTCTTTAAAAAAAAAAAAAAAAAAAAAGGTGTCACTATGTAAGCACTGACTGGCTGGAACTCTTAAATCTTCCTCCTTCAGTTTCCAGTGCTAGGATTACAGACATACACCACCATACCCAGATCTACTCTTAAGATCCCTCTCAACAACATTGGGGACCAAGCCTCCTGAGTTTTAGTTGAGCCAAACAGCAACCCTAGAGGTTCTTCAAATAGAGCTGAATTTACTCTCTTCATCACTGTAAGCTGGAAGACATCTTCCTGGGGTCCTTCAGAACCCCTGGCCCAATGCTGAAAGCTAGCTGTTCTTCCTCTAGCCCCTAGTGGAGAGACCCAGCTCCTCGGCTGACTTCATGTTTATGCTCCCCTTTAAATTCTAGGGTTGAGGAAAGGGTAAATGTTGTCTGCTTCCCTAATTATACCCAAATCTCTTAGGTTGTAATCCACCCATTAGAAAACCTGGGCCTGCTGTTACTTGTAATTCTGGATTTCAGCTCTATTCCAATTCATCCTAGTTTCCGTGGACCTTCCCCAGTCTGGCTGCTGCACTCACGTCTCTTGCTTTTGTCCAGCCAGCCCTTCCCCAATGCCTTCAAAAGGCTCTCCATGGAACTACCCCAGACTCCACACGTCAGGGGCAATTGTGTTTCAACAGAACAGATACAGGATGGCACTGCCAGAATACATCTGAAGAATTTATCAGGAACCCTAACCCACCTAGGTCATACCTGGTAAGCGTGTTTCAAGGCATCACAAAGTGCCTCTGCTCACATTCAAACCCACCTCTGCCTACCCACCCCCAGGTCCCATCACTGTACTAACAAGAAAGCAAGGAAGAAAGGGCAACAATGTGCCAAAAATGGCAGAATCAAGAACCCAGAAGGCAGACCCAGCCCAATGATGCAGGGCTGTTTTCCTCCCAATATTCAAGAGACAACTACAGGAAAGAAGTGAAATTTCTACTCTATCAGCAGCCTACTTACCCTAGAGCCTATCTCTAGCTGCTTGTTAACTGCCTTGCTGGGCTGTGCTGCCCATGCAACACCTCAGTAGAATCTGTTCTGTATATCGTACTTTCCATGTCCTGAGGATGGGAGGCCAAGGGAACAGTTAGCTTACATGGGCCAGAAAGAGTTCCAAGTAAAAGCTGCATGACCCTGGTTCTCGAGGAAGTCTTTTTCAGGGATCAGAGCAGCATCTAGTGGCTCTTCTGGGCAACACAGGTTATGTAACCTGCATACAGCAGAGCAGAGCAGCCCCCCAGTACCAGCAGTCTCATTAATACTTTGAACGTTAGTGCCTAAAAGGGGCCCTCAGCAGCAGACTTCCTACACTACTTTATGTGAGACCTGAGAGAAGGGCACAACCCCTGGTCTAGAGCTGCACTGACCAAAACAAACGCAGTGGGAGCTCTAACTGCCAGCCACAGGGGTAATGTGATCTTTTCTAGTAATCACATTTTACAAAGTAAAAAACAGCTGAATTTAATATTTAACCCAGTAGACCCAAGATATGTCAACAAACAAACATGAGACAGTTTACATTTCTTTCACACTAAGCTTTTAAAGGCTGCTTTATGATTACACTGTAGCACATAAGTTTGAATCAGCCACACTGAAGGTTTGGATGGCTATACAGGACTAGCAGCTCTGGCCAGACAGTTCAGGTCTAGTCACTACACTGAGACTGAGAGGGGCACAGAGAAAAGGGCTACTAACTATTCTGAGCTGCCGGGGCTTTCCTAACTATGGAAAACCCTCTCTGCTCCAGTTCCATATTATTACGGATTTTTTTTAAAGGCAGGGTCTCCATGTAGCCCCAGCTGGCCTGGAATTCGCTATGCAGACCAAGCTGTATGTCCTTGAACTCCAGAGATCCACCTGCCTCTGCCTCCTTAGTGCTGGAATTAAAGGCGTGTGCCACCACACCCGTTTAAAAGTTCTTTAATAGATACAAAACTTTCTGTTAAGTAAAATTATACACAGAAACACTACTACAACTAAGAGCAGCAAAACTGCTCAAACTGCAGAGGTATTTAGCAAGTCCCCCAGAGGCCCCAGAGGCCCTCAAAGACCCATTCTGGAGTCTGAGGGCAGTATGAAAATGGCTGCTTTTTAAGATTCCAAAAGGAAAGTAAACCACAGCTGGTTATCAGGACTCTTTGGCACTTTTTCTTCCATCGCTTCATTGGACTTTCACATCCCAATTACCTCCCACAGACCAGGAAACAGGCTTGGAAGAACTACTGCCCAAACCCAGTTGTCCTCACTGGGCCATGCTGCCCAAAGAGATACCTGAACTCCAGTGCTAACTTCCTCACAGGTCAACCTGCTGGCCAAACACATCCAAATTTGGACTCCCAATGTGGCTACAAGACCACTAAGCAAGTGAGGTAACAGAGCTTTGACCAATTCAGAAGAGCTGGACTAGTGTTGCTATACAGAGCTGTTTGAGTTTGCTTGAAAATCCTTTCAACACTCAAGAAAAAGACACCTTTTGAAAAAAAAAATTATTTTTATTGGAACTCATCTGAACATCAGATATACCTGGTGTTGGTTAGCAAGAACCGTTTGTACATTTGATATTGATGGTGCCAAAACCAAAACAGTGACTGGACATGATGGGGAGAAAAGATGGTTGAGAACAAAAACCTGATTTTTGAAGAGGAAAATAAAAGCCAGTCAGATTCAGTGAAGATGCAAAACCTGGTACAACAAAATCCTTTTACAAAATAGAAATTTATTACGAAAACCTGGAAGGATAATCTGAGAAAGGTAAAGAAAGAGAAAAGGAGGCCGGCAGGAAAGAGGCAGGAGTTGGGAAGGAAAAGAGAAAAGACAGGGTAGGTGAAAAAAGAAAATACAGCAGGGACAGCAAAAGTGCAGAAGCTTACCTGCCCAAATGGCATTAAAGCCTTGCTAGGTAATCACAGCAGAAAACAAAGCATGCTGAAATACAGTGCTCTACTCCCATCCGCTCAAGTTCTAAGAGGTAAAGAAGCTCCCTGGGAAGGGGACATGAGGTTGCTTCAAACCCAACAAGGAAAATTAAAAATTAAAAAAAAAAAATTTAAAAAAAAAAAACAAAAAAACAACCACACCCCACAGTCTCATTTCCAATGTTCACTGTTTTATAAAGGAATAAATCCATCTGACAGCAGGAGAGAGGAGTGGAACAGGGAGAGCAGCAGATGGAGTTTTAGACAGCCCAACTCCTCTAGAGGGGAGGAGAAAGGATATGGTCTCCTGGCTGAGAGAGGAAAGAGGAGGAGGAAGAGGAGAGAGGAGAGCAAAAGAGGAGGGGTAGTTAAAACACTGATGTCTAATCTAGTTACTGTGTTTAAAAAGCCACATGCACAGCAGCCCCCTGGGGGCTGAGGGCCCACACTGCTCCCCGTGTGGCCGTGGTAGACACTAGCTCCTGGCCTTGTCTCCATTCTTTCACAGGTCAGAGCAGAGCGGTGCACGTACTGCTGCTGTGGCGGCGGTGACAGCACAGCGGGACCTTCGGCTGTCTGCTGGAGCCAATGTCAGAGGAGGGAAGGGTGGACAGGGCAGATGTCAGGGGAAAAAACACCGAAACGCCTCGTTTCAAATAAAAAAAGAAAACAGCAGTCTATACACAGTTGTTTGTTTTGGTTCAGTACAAACAGAATAAAAAGTCGTTGCTTTTGATGGTCAGCAAACACCCAATTCTGAAGAGGAGGAGAGGTGAGGCCCAGCAGATGGATTAGGATCCCCAGTGGTTGGCAAGGTGCCTGGCTTTGTGGCCCTCTCCCAGGAGGCAGAGAGCACAGCTTTAGGTAGTGTAAGCCTTTTTCCTTTTATTTAGAATCTCTTTTTTTTTCTTTTTCTTTTTTTTTAAGCAATTTCCCCATTCCCATGGTGGGCCAGTGAAGATTACATGAGAATCGGCCCACCTATTGGCCGGGATACAGATGCACCAAATGAGGATTAAAAACTTTCCGAGCGAAAAGTAGAACAGAAAGAAAAAAGAATCTCCTAGCATTTTCCCCAAGGTTTCACTCTCCCGCCACACACACTCTCCAAAGGACTGCTACAGATCCAACTCTGCAAGAGAAGACAGAGCAGTGTCAATCAGGAAGTTGTGAGGACACCAGAAGGAGGTTTTCAGTCTCGACAGGCAGAAGAAAACGCTGCCTGGCCCTAGACCCCGGAGCTGGCACTCACCTATGTCAATTTCTTGGCTTTGTTGTAGAGGGAATCCACTACTTTACTCATGTTCTGAATTGTTTCCAGAGCAGCTTCATAAGTTTTATCTACTGGGGGTTCATCAAAAATAATCAGGACACCCTCCCCCTGGTCCAAAATCCCTGCAAGAAACACAAGAACAAGCCAGGTAAAAGGAGACATTCGACATAAAAGCAATTTGAAGAAGCCCACTCCCTTGATGCCTCTTCTCCAGTAAAGGGAACTACAACTTATCTCCGTTCCATGGAGTATATTTACTACATAGGGATGGCGGGGGGGGGGGGGGGGGGGGATATGGAAGGGGGAATGTGGCTTAGGGAGTCCCGGCGCGGAGAGCTGCGCTATAGACTTACCCCAAGGGGGGGGGGGGGGGGAGGAAGCGGTGTCACAAGAAAACTGAACACCTGCTTTAAATATATACCTCTTTAACCATATTACCACAACCAGCCAGCCCCCTTGCCTGTGTGACTGTTACTTACCATGAAATTTCTTGTCAAGAATCATCTGTGATAATTTCCTTTCTACCTCGGCCTAAAATCAAAGCACATGATTAAAGGGACCAGTATCCATTAGTCAGAGATCACCCTGACACAAAAGCTTTGTAAGAAGGAGTCTTAGAGCAAATGGACTAAGCAAAATGGCAACCAACACAAACCCAGCTAAGCCCACTTTCCCTGTTTCCTACAGGGAAGCATGGAAGAATTCCACTAAGACCCATCAGCTGCAAATCCAGCCCCTCCATAACTCTTCCCCATCCCCTACCCAGATAGCCTGTAAACTTACCTTGGAGAGTTTGATGAGGCTAGATATGTGTTCAATCTAAAAGGAAAGGCAGAGAGACAGCAACACTGAAAGTTATACTTTTTAACCTCCAATATAAAAAAGGGGGACAGAGAGAACGGCTGTGTCTCTTGAGTCTGCTGAATATCTCTCAAGGCCATACTTAGTGTTCTTGTGACCTAGCCACTTTCCTGCCCGTCATCATCACTACATGGAACATACTTGTGGTCCCACATACCAAATACAGAAAGTGTTTACAGCATACACCAATGACTACAAAGGCAAGGAAGGGATGGTACTCAAACATAAGCTTCTACCCCACCAGCATCCTTCATTCATTTCCCATCAATACAAGCCCAAGCCCTTGGTGGCCTCATATCCAGCAGACACACCCTTGAAAGTAAGTTCCTATTTTGGACAGATGTGGCAAAAGAGGTGGCTGCAGTGGTAATGTCTAACACAAAACTGTTCAAGAGCCCCCAGAAAAAATCTTCTTACCTGTACTCGGGAAAAAGGCTCAATGACTCGGATCAGATTCTGTTCCAGTAAGTTATCGTACAACTTGGCCAAGTGTGTGCTGATGATTGGGTCATCCCGGAGCTCTGCCCGGTAGTCTGTCAGGGCCTACAAAAGGAGCTCATAGCAGAGAACAGCACAGAGAAGCACTCTGAAGTCCCACTACTCCTAGCTGCTGGCTCTGTAACTATACAGTTGAATAAAGTTCTGGGAGATTTGGGGGGATGAAAATAAGCTATGAAAAAAGAAGGCTATCAAGAACTCAGGGCTGGAGAGATGGCTCAGCAGTTAAGAGCAGTGGCTCAACACCCACATGGCAGCTAACAACCATCTGTAACTTGGGTTCCAGGGGGATCCAAACACCCTCTTCAGATCTCTGCAGATATCACATGACCTAAGTGCACTTAGATACATGATGCAATACACATAAAAATAAAAACAATTTTAAAAAAATAACTAAAGGCCAGGCATGGTGATGCATTAATCCCAGCTTGGGGGTGGGGGGTGGAATGTAGAGGCAGGTGAGTTTGAGGCCAGCCTGGTCTACATAGCAAGTTCCAGGCCACCTGGGGCTGCAGGGAAACCCTGTTTCAAAAAGAAAAAAAATAAGAAAAATAAAGCAGAGAGCCACCATATTTCTATCTAAAATTCTTGTGGCTAAAGTTCAAATCATGTAAGCCTCAAGAGCAGCTCAACTTACAAAACAAATTAACTGCACAAATATTTTTTCAGCACATATTTCAAAGAATTGTGAAATTAAATAATGAAAATGTCAAATTCCTCAACTAGTTCTCTGGAGTTTTGCAAGGAATATCAGTATAATATGGGTCTGCAGTCAAAACAGAATACCATGCTATTTCTGTCCCAATTATCTGAACACAGAACCCTTTTTCCAAGGAACCATGTGGGATAAAAGTGTTCCATCGGATACCCCAAATTTTGTGACAAAATTAGACTATCATATACCTAATATTTTTATCTTTCATGATGGTTTCAATATCCAAGTCTTACATTCGCTCTGGTCCAAGATATTAAGCAGACAAATCATACCAAACAAGAGGCAACAGGAAGAGGAAAGAACTTCTAGGAAGTGACGACTATTGGGGCCGGTCAGAACCATGTGGCTCCATATGGCTCCATGCACGCTACCTTTTACTGTAGATCTAGGTCTGGTTTCAAAGCTGGTTGGTATATTCAGACTAAGAGAGCAGAGGTTCTGAACATACAAGTCTCAACCTAATACTTAAAAAAGTGTTGCTCCTATTTTGAATCTTCCCAATGAACAAAAGAAAACCTACAGCATCATCCTGAGGAAGTTTCTCTAAGGAGAAATAAGCATATCAAGACTTCTGTATTAGAGCCAGGTATAGTGACTCACTCATACCTATAATCCTAGCACTTGGGACTCTGAGGCAGAAGGACTGCGGCGAGTTCAAAGCCAACATGAGCTACATGTCTCAAAAAAATAAAACAAACTTCTCTTTTGTTTACAGAAAAAAACAGACCTGGGCTTTCTGGCATTGAAGGAATGAATGCCTACAGCAGTACTTAAATGTCCTACTCTTCCCATTCTCTACCAATTCAATACCACACTCACCTTTTCAAAATCTGCCAGCGATCTGTTCTTACTTGCTTGAGCCACACATTTTAATGCTTCTGTCTGAAAGTAAAAGAACACATCATGAAAGTGATCTATTCTGCATGCTCACATATACCCAAGGTCTGTTATGCACCTCTGTTATAAGAAAAGAACCTACCCCACCATCACTTTTTTTAGGGGCCTGGGGAGAAAAGCCAGAAGGACTGAATATCACTGTATGCCAACCAGTTTCCCTTTGAAATGTGAAGTATAAGGTTCTCAAAAGGATAGACCCGGATACAGCATTCTCTACAGAAAATAAGCTAAAAGGGAAAATAACAAGAGAACTGTGATTTCTTGTCCTTCCTTATGTCCGCATCCACCCAATTCTATCTGCCCTTCAACCTGGTCATACCTGGGGTTTATTATCAAGATTTACTCTGCTAGCTTCAATACAAGGCATTGAATGAGATCTACTTCACTGGGGTCCAAGCATTAATAGTCCATGTATTATCTTTGACTATTAAAACTACAAAAGGGGGGCTGGAGAGATGGCTCAGCGGTCAAGAGCACTGACTGCTCTTGTAGAGGACCCAGGTTCAATTCCCAGCACCCACATGGCACTACAAACTGTCCTTAACTCCAGTTCCAGAGAAATCCAAAGCCCTCTTCTGACCTCCGAGGCATTGCACAACACAGGTGCACTCACATACATGCACGCAATACACTCATACACATAAAATAAAAATAATATTAAAAAAAAAAACAAAAACTCAGGCTGGAGAGATGGCTCAGTGGTTAAGAACACTGGTTGTTCTTGCAGAAGACCCGGGATCGAATCCTAGTACCCACATGGCAGCTAACAACGGTCCGTAACTCCAGTCCCAGGGGATTTGACTTCTGACCTCCGCAGGCATTGCACGACATGGGTGCACTTACCTACATGCAGGCAATACATGCATACACATAAAATAAAAACGAATAATTAAAAAAAAAAAAAAACTCTACAAAGGGCCAAAATTCCAAGTACAATGACTATGGGCAACTTCTAACTTAGCTATAGAAAGACACACCTGCCAAACTATCAAGTCTCCACTCAGTAAGAATTCAGCAACATTCATCTTCTAGGTCAGCCTCTTTTTGAGAGCTGTCATCAAGGTACAAAGAAACAGAAGCGCCTTTAATCCCAGCACTTGGAAGGCAGAGGCAGGAGGATCTCTGTGAGTTTGAGGCTAGCCTGGTCTACATAGGGAGTTCCAAGCCAGCTGTGGCTAGAGGGAAACCCTGTCTCAAAAAGACCAAAAAAAAAAAAAAGAAACGGAAGTAGCTCCTACGGCAACCTACATAAAAGTAAGGATGGTATGTCAAGAGCACAGTTTGTCTCTAACATTTGTCCTACAGACAGAATAAATGTCATAATGAAGATGCCCTGGAACTTAAAGTCAAACAACACAGGTTCAAAGTCTGTGCCTACCATCTTAGCTACTTGACCTATTCCTGAAAACCTACTGTATCTAAGCCAGTCTTGTAAGAAAAGTACATCTTTCACCATAGCAATAGCTAGTACTTGAGGTCAAAACTAGGAGCTGACCTGAAATTTCTGAGGATGAAAAGCCAATTAGGAGCATTTGTAAAGAAGAAAGAAATCTTTTGTGGACAGGCCTCCAGAGATATAGGGAGATGGCCAATCTGTCTGTTGTTTAGAGACAGCTGCATTTAAAATCCAGAACGATTACTTTTATTTACTGATGATAATCAAAGAACAAAGAAGGGATAGTAGAGACACCTGAGAGATCATCTTTACAAAGGTCAACCATATGGTCTGAGAAGTTGGATACCTATACAGGCACTAAGGTACCATCAAAAGGTTGACCAACCATCAAAGGCCTCTTTTTAAACCAGACTTAAAAGCAGTGAGCTGAAGGGCTAGGCGTGGTGGTGCACGCCTTTAATTGCAGCACTTGGGAGGCAGAGGCAGACGGATCTCTGTGAGTTCCAGGCCAGCCTGGTCTACATAGTAGGTTCCAGGACAGCTGGGGCTACAGGGAGACCCTGTCTCAAAAAGACAAAAAAAAAGTAGTGAGCTGAGGGGCTGGAGAGATGACTCAGTGGTTAAGAGCACTCACTGCTCTTGCTAAGGACCCGGGTTCAAGTCCCAGCACCCACATGGCATCTACGAACCGTCCTTAACTCCTGTTCCAGGGGAATCTGACACCCTCTTCTGAACTCCTCGGCATTGTATGACATGGGTGCACTCACATACATGCAGGCAATACACATAAAATAAAAATAATTTTTAAAAAAAGTAGTGAGTTGAGAAACAGGTAGGTCTCAAAATCTAGTTTGTTCTTACAAGTAGTCTGACCTTCCTGAAGCACATATGCACCAGGCCTAAGCAGGCTTCTAACTCAGAGAATCAAGATGTCATATTTTTCATGTTAAATCTGTGGGTCAGGCACACAGTAAGTAGATGTGGCCAAAGATAAATGTAACCTAACAGCAAATGCTTCAATTTATTCCTTTTAAGTTCCTCAAATTACCTAAATTCTTTAATAACACCCAACACTGACTTTCTAGGCCAAGAATTTAAGAGTTCCAAAAATGCAGTGAAAGAACTTACAGGAAGGAAACAAGGGGGTGGATGAGTAGGAAGGAGACCTGAAGCGTACTGATCTCATCAAACATCATAAATCTGACAACAAGCTTGTCTCAGAGTACAACTGCAGTCACAACATTCCCTACCTGCCTCCCTGCATACCGAAGTGCAAGCTTCCCGCTCACCAGAGCCTGGACATCTTCTGGGCTAGAAAAAAAGACATACTTGGTCAGTTGCTCCAAGACATTAGGATTCTAATCATAAGTTTAGGTGAAATATTTATAGAATAACATTGTGAAGACCATCCACAAAGAAAAATCAACCCCAGTCCCTAAACCCATCTGTGCCTAGTAACTGTAGAAGCTAGGTTGTCTTCACTCCAGGCCAAAACTAACACTGAAAAGTAAAAACCTCCCAGTTAGAAAGAAAACCCAAATGAACCTACAAAAATCAACCAAACCAACAGGCAGAACAGTAAGTTTAGGTCAAATCCCAGCATAACAGGCCTTATCAAAATACAACCCTGGGACTGGGGCTATAACTCAGTTTCATGTAAGAAACCCTAGGTTTGTTCCCAGCACTGCATAAATCAGTTGTGGCAGCTCATGCCTGTGATCCCAACACTTGGAAGGAAGAAGTAGGTAGAAGGGTCATCCTTGGCTACATAAAGAATTGAGGCCAACCTGGGCTACATGAGACCCTGCCCCGTTCCACCCCCTAAAAAAAATTTTTTTAGCTTTTAAAAAAAAAAAAAAAAAATCACAAGTGGGGCGTGGTGGTGCACACCCTTAATCCCAGCACTTGGGAGGCAGAGGCAGGCAGATCTCTGTGAGTTCATGGCCAGCCTGGTCTACATAATGAGTTCCAGGGAAGCTGGGGCTACGGGGAGACACTGTCTCAAAAAGACAAAAAAAAAAAAAAAAAAAAAAAAAAAAAAAAAAATCACAATCCTGTGTTAGGGATATAGGTCAGTTAATAGAGTGGTTACCTAGAATGCACAAGGCTCTGCATTCAGTCCCCAGCATCACTAAATAAATAAACTTGCTTAATTTATATCTCTGAGGGGCCAGGAAAGACAACTTGGCAATTAAGAGCACTGGCTGCTCTTCCAGAGGACTCAGATTCAATTCCCAGCACCCACATGGCAGCTAAAAAACATCCATAACTCCAGTTCCAGGGAATCCAACACCACCTTCTGGCCTCCACAGGTATTATACACATGTGGTACACTTCATGTACCACATGAAAGCAAGCAAAACACTCATATACATAAAAGTATAATTTTTTTTTTTTTTTTTTTTTTTTGGTCTTTTTGAGACAGGGTCTCCCTGTAGCCCAAGCTGTCCTGGAACTCACTATGTAGACCAGGCTGGCCTTGAACCCACAGAGATCCGCCTGCCTCTGCCTCCTGGAGTGCTGGGACTAAAGGCGTGCACCACCACGCCTGGCTGAAAGTATAAATTTTTTTAAAAATCTCTGTGAGGGGCTGAAGAGATGGCTCAGAGGTTGAGAGCACTGACTGCTCTTGCAGAGGACCTGGGTTCAATTCCCAGTACCCACATGACAGCTAGCAACCATCCATAACTCCAGATCCAGGGGATCCAACCCCTCTTCTGTCCTCCGAGGGCACTGCACAACACGGGTGCACTTACATACATGCAGGCAATACACACATACACATAAAATAAAAAATAAAATATATTTTTAAAAATCTCTGTGAAATCAAGATTCCCAGTTAATCAAAACTTCTTTTATTTCAAATAGAATTTGCTCAGCCCCATGTTGCCCATTCTGGGAGATCAGCTGGCTGGCAGTGACCTATGACCTACTTCTGGAACTCTGTCCTGTGTTCAACACCTGTGAGGACAGAATATTGAAGAGTGAGCAAGATTTCTCCAAGAGAATTCTCTAATAAGGGAGTTTCTAAAATCTGTCTCCCTGAGTTTGAAAGGCTAGCAAACCAAAATGCTATGGAACTGACTATCCCACTATACCTCAACCAGTCCCACAGCCTGTGGCTGTAGCTGTTATCTGTTAACTGGCCAAACTCCCTGCGTAAGCCACCTCTGCCAAGGCAGACAGACTTAGTTGAACAACTAGAGTTCTTATGTTCCACAGCTAATGTACACCTACGTGTTGAGCATGATTTTGCACAGCAACATGTACTTCAGAGATGTGATGGCCTTGGGGCTATCAATGGAGTCATAGCCCTCAAATGCCTCATAGAAGTATGAGTATGCGGTTTTCCAGTCCTTCTCCTCTGCTGCATGGATAATACCTTAACAGTGAAAACAAAGGAGTAAGAATCATAAAAATAGCAGAACCATAAAAAGCCTTAGAAATCTACCCCATATCATCAACTTACTGAAGAGGTCAAGTGAGGACAAAAGACCTATCCCAAGTCATAGCCAGCTAATGAGAACTGGGATCAGAACCCAGGTCTCTGGCCCCTCTGATCAGTGTCACCATATTAAATTCCCAAAGGAGTTAAGAAACCAAACTCGAATCCTAAAAACCATATAGTACATTATTCTTTTCTGTGCTTCTTATCAGCATCCTAGTCCTACTATCATTGGTGTAACCAGAAAAGGTCGTGTTTACCCTCCACATCACTTGTACAGGCCAATGAATTAACCCAAACAGTCCCAAACCACATTTTAATAATATCAACTATGGGCTGGGATGTGGTTTAGCTGGTGCTTGGCTAGCACAATCCCCAGCACCAAATAAACCAGACATGGTGTCTAACATCTATAATCTCAGTACCTGGAGGTAGAGACAGAAGTCAGAAGTTCATGAAACTGTATCTTAAAAAAAAAAAAAAAAAAAAAAAAAAAAAAACTGAGGGCAGGAAAAAAGACTCCATGGTTAAGAGCACTGGCTACTCTTACAGAGGACCTGGGTTCGATTCCCAGCACCCACATGGTCCATAAATCCAGTTCCAGGGATCCAAGTCCTTCTTCTGACCTCCACAGGCGCACAACAGGGGCGCACTTACACACAGACAAGCAAAACACTCATACACATAAAATAATAATAATAATGGGGCTAGAGAGATGGCTCAGTGGTTAAGAGTACTGGCTGCTCTTGCAGAGGACCCAGGTTCAATTCCCAGCACCCACATGGTGGCTATAAACTGTCCTTAACTCCAGTTCCAGGGGAATCCAACGCCCTCTTCTGACCTCTGTAGCACTGTACAACATGGGTGCACTCACATATGTACAGGCAGGCAATACACTCATACACATAAAATAAAAATAATATATTTTAAAAAATTGAACGTTGGACATGGTGGCGCCTTATTATTTTTATACTGAAGCAGCTTTCATGATGATAATGTGCCCCAACATGCTACTACTTTCATTTTAAAATCTTGTCATTTATGGATTTGCATCTATCTATATACAATCGGTGTGTAGATCACTCATAAAGCCAAATTGATAAACTTAACTGCACATGAGCAATATTTCTTTAGGCTAATACCAAAGTTCTCCTCATTAATCCCAATTAGGCTGCTCCTAGTGATCATAACTTTGAATGAAATGATTACTTCTACCTTATGCTATCACCTGTAATAACATAAGAATTAGTATTTTACAACCTGAGAAGCATCTAAGCCTTAAGATTCTGTACCTCTATATGTTAGCTCTAACTCTGTTCCAGCCCTTTATGAAGTTAAAGGCCTCAGCCCCATCCATGTGTTTACCACAGTACTTCCCTACATTCTTCACCCAAGAAATCAATGTAATCCCAGAAACGGTTATTTATGTTACCTGACTGCATGTCTAAGGTGGCCTGCAATTTAGGGGGGCAGTAGATGGCATTTGCTGTGGTTCGAGCAGACGTTAAGGCAGCTCGGGCTTTCGGCAGATTACTTAGAGCATGGTATGTTTTGCTTTCTAAAAGCTGTACTTCCACCAGAAGGGCTTTGTCATCCATCTTTTTTAACTCCCGAAGCAGCTGAGAACCTGGAAGAGGAAAGTATATGGGTATTTGTTTGTTAGCCTTTATCTTTTTCTCTATTTTTAGAGAAAGGTTTGTTTTAGATTTCTGACTGTGTCTGAGTGGGTATATACACATGTGTGTAGAAGTTTACGCACCTCTGTGAAGACAGATGTCAAAAGAGAGCATCGGGTGTCCTCCTCTACCAATCTCCACATATTCGAAGCAGGGTCTCTTCCTAAACCTGGGGCTCCCATTTTCTCAGCTAAACTGGACACTTAACAAGCCCCAGCAATCCTGTAACCACCTCACTTGGAACTAGTATTTTGTGGGGACTCCCTTCTTAGCCTTAATCTTAGTATCATAATACTATGAAATCTTACTCTCCACTCTTAAAACACTAAGGATAAAGAAATTCACCAGAATCTCTGTGAGTTTAAGGCTGGCCTGGTCTACATAGTGAGTTCCAGGCCAGCTGGAGCTACAGGGAGACCCGGTCTCAAAAATCAAGACCAAAAAAAAAAAAAGAAAGAAAGAAAAGAAACCCGCCTAAACTCAGGTTACCTTTAGAGCCCATCCAAGAACTGAGTTTTCCTTTATGCTTTCAAAAAAGAAATATGGATCTTTTTAAAGCTTTTATTCTCTCTAAACACAACACTGGAGCTAAGAGTCCTATAAGCTCACACCTAAGATTTAAATACAGTGGGAATCTCTAGCAATAAAATGCTAAAACTAGTTATCTAGTTCAGAGACTTGAGTTCGCTTTCTCCCTGTCCAGCAATCACAAGACTATATAAGGGGCCCGAGACTTGACTCAGTGGGTAAAGATGCTTGCCATTGAGATGGGTGATCTGAATTTGATCCCTAGGACACACATGATGGAAGAAGTTGTCCTCTGACCTCCACACATGCACCATGGCACATGCACACACACACACACACACCCACACACACACACAAAGACTAAGAGAATGAATTAAATGTAGTTTAATTTTTTTAATTATTAAAAAAAAAAAAAAGACTACGTAAGAAATACTGGAAGCAAATATGGAATGTAGAAGCAAGCTGTCATCCCAGCACTTGGGAAGCTGTGATAGGAAGACAAGTTTAAGGACAGCCTGGGCTACATAAGAACTGGTCTCAAAAAAGCCACAAAAGGGGCTGAAGAGATGGCTCTGTGGTTAAGAGCACTGGCTGCTCTTGCAGAGGACCTGGGTTTGAGTCCCAGCACCCACATGGCAGCTAACGCCCAAGCGTAACTCAAGTTCCTGAGGAATCTAACACCCTCTTCTGACTCCATGGACATTGCACAACATGGGTGCACTTATATACATGTAGGCAATACACTCATACACATTAAAAATAATAATTTTTTTTAAAAATTTTTTGGTCTTTTAGAGACAGGGTCTCCCTGTAGTGGGACTGGCCTGGAACTATGTAGACCAGGCTGGCCTTTAACTCACAGAGATCCACCTGCCTCTGCCTCTGGAATGCTGGGATTAAAGGCATGTGCCAACATGCCCGGCTTATAAATATTTTTTTTGAAGCCACAAAAGAAAAATAGGGAGAAGGAGAAGGAGCAACATAGGGCATTAGGGTTCACCAGGAAAGTAAATAATTTTGGTTATGCCAGTATTCTCCAAATATACCTTATTTTACATCTCAAAAGACTCAAATCCAAACATTTACGTCATATACAAAAATCAACTCTACTTGAATGAATGGCCTAACTATAAGAATGAAAACCACGGTGCATGCCTATAACTATGAGGCAGTGTGAATTTGAGGCCAGACTGGACCACATAATGAATTACAGGCAAAAATGGGCTACATAATGAGACCTTGTATCAAAAAAAGAAAACAGAGAAAGAAATGCAACTGTAAAATTTCTAAAAGAAAATACGAGTTTACTTTATATCTTATACCAATAGGATAAGCAAAAAAAGAATACACAATTACATGTAACTAAAGTGTACTTTATTTTCTTAGAGTGCATGTGTGCACACACAAAGTCAGGGGTCAACTCTAGGTAGTCAGGTCTCTCCTGCCACCTCTAGGATCTAGAAATTGAACTTATTAGGTCCTCAGGCCTGCATGCAAGCACCTTGACCCACTAAGTCACCTGCCAGCCCAAAATGTACCTTAAAGGACACCATCAATAAAGTGAAAAAAACACATCAAGTATGCTGACTCATAACCACAATACCAGGACTTGGGAAGCTGAGGCAGGAAGATCAAGAATTTGAGGCCGGTGGGCTAAGACAATGGCTCAACAGGTAAAGCATTTGCCATACAAATATGAGAACAGAAGTTCTAACTGCCAATGGGAATAGCAGTCTACCTGTAATCCCAGTGCTAAGGAGGCAGAAACAGAGAATTCCCCCAAAAAAGTTGGCTAGCTAGACTAGTTGGATCAGCAAGCTTTGGGCTGAAATAAGACCTTGCCTCAGTATATAAGGTAGAAAGCATTCAAGCAAGATGCCCGATTTCAATCTGTGGCCTCCAAACACATTATATTCTCTCTCTCTCTCTCTCTCTCTCTCTCTCTCTCTCTCTCTCTCTCCCTCTCCCCCTCTCTCCTCTCTCCTCTCTCTCCCTCTCTCCCCTCTCTCTCCTCCTCTTCTCTCTCTCTCTCTCTCTCTCTCATGCATACCACACATACAAACACATGCAAAGAAGAGTTTAAGGCTAGCCTATACTACATAGTGAGACCATCTGAAAAAAAAAAAAAGTGAAGAAGTAACTCACAGAATGGGGAAAAATAATTGCAAATCACAAGTAACTAAATTAAAAATAAGTAAAGGGGGTGGAGAGACGGCTCAGCAGTTAGGAGCACTTACTGCTCTTGTAGAGGACCCAGGTTCAATTCCTAACACCCACATGGCACCTAAAAAAAGTCTGTAATTCTAGTTCCAAGGGAATTCAACACCCTCTTCTGACCTCCAAATGCACTGCACAACATGGGTGCACTTACACACATGCAGGCAATACACTCATACACATAAAATTAATAAAATATTTTTTTAAAAAGACAGTGCTGCCAGGCATGGTGGCACACACCTTTAATCCCAGCACTCCGGAGGCAGAGGCAGGCAGATCCTCTGTGAGTTTGAGGCCAGCCTGTTCTACAGAGTGAGGTCCAGGCAGCTGGAGCTACAGGGAGACCCTGTCTCAAAAAGACCAGAAAAAAAAAAAAAAAAGACAGTGTTGCTGGACATGGTGGTATACACCTTTTACACCTTTAATCCCAGTACTGGGAGGCAGAGTCAGGCAGATCTCTGTGAAATCAAGGCCAGCCTAGTCAAGTTCCAGGTCAACTGGGGCTACAGGGAGACCCTGTCTCAAAAAACAAAAACAACAAAAAGACAGTGTTGATAAGAAAGCAGAGAAACTGGAACGCTTCTCATACATTGCTGGTGAGAATTAAATGGTGCTGCCACTTGGGGAACAATTTGGCTACTCTTCAAAAAACTATACAGTTATCACTTCTAAGTGATCCCCAGTGATCCAGTGACCCCCATTTCTAAGCCTATATTCAAAGTAAAAACAGATCCATGTGAAAAAGCAGTATTTACAGTAACAAAAAAAAGAGAAACAAACCAAAAGTTTTATCAACTGATGAATGTCTAAAATGTAATACAACCAAATACTGATACAACCAAAATACAACCAAAGGCTAAGGATATGGCAAAATGGCTGAAGTGCTTTTTATACAAGCATGAGGACCTGCATTCTGATCCCCAGCACCTACATGAAAAGCCAGGCATGGCAGCATACACATGTGATCCTAGCACTGGGGAGAGAGAGATAGGCTGATTTCTGGGATTTGCTGGCCAATCCATGAACTGCACACTCAGTGAGATAATTTATCTCAAAAATAAGGTAGATAGCAAATAAGGAAAATACCAGATGTTCACCTCTGGCCTCCACACACATGCATACATATACATGTGCACCAGCACACACATGTACACAGGAACATATACTATATACACACAAATGTGATAACAATGGATAATTATTCAGCAATAAAGAAACAACGTATGAATACATGTAAAAAGAAAAAGAAAAAAAAAAAAAAAGGATGAATCCTCAGAACATTACAATAAGCAAAAAAAGCCAATCACAAAAGATGACCATATATTGTAAGATTCCATGTATATGAACTATCCTGAATAGGCAAATCTACAGAGACAAAAGGCACAGGTTATCTAGGCATAGGAAATGGAGAATTTATGAAAAATAACAGCTGCTGGGCATGGTAGTGCATGCCTTTGATCCCAGCACTCCACAGAGGCAGGTGGATTTTTGTGAGTTCAAGGGCAGCCTGGTCTACATAGTAATTTCCAGGCCAGCTGGGGCTACTGGGAGACCCTGTCTCAAAAAAGAAAAAAAAAAAAAGCCGGGCGTGATGGCACATGCGTTTAATCCCAACACTTGGGAGGCAGAGGCAGGTGGATCTCTGTGAGTTCAAGGCCAGCCTGGTAAACATAGTGAGTTCCAGGACAGCTGGGGCTACAGGGAGACCCTGTCTCAAAAAGACCAAAAAGAAAAAAAAAAGTGAATTTTGGAGCTGGAGAGATGGCTAAGCAGTTAAGAGCACCCACTGCTCTTGCAGAATCTCAGCACCCACATGGCAGCTAACCACCATCTGTAACTCCAGTTCCAGGGGATCAGAAGCTCTTTTGGCCTCTGTGTGAATTGCATGCATAGGTACATTTACATACATGCAGGCAAAACATTCATAAACATAAAAATAAAAATGAATCCAAAAAATGCAAAAAAATCTGATACTAAATGTAAAATGCAGAAAGTGAAAAAATTTCAGCTATTTATTTCAATGAAATAAATTTTACTGCTCTAAATTTAAGAAAAAGTTAAAACTAACTTTGTTTTGTAAAATTAAATTTTAATTATAGCTTTCTCAGAACTTTTTTTATTTTCAATGCTTGCTAGGCAAACACTACTACTGAGCTACATTTCCACCCCAGTATCTCAGAACTTTGAACCCAAATTTTATGTGACAAATTTCATGAATGTAAATATGGATAGAATATAAATTATTAACAAATAACTAATAAGAATATCCAAGTTTGGATATTCATTTAGATAGCTTATTAATTTCTATCAGTTTACTTACCCAAATGTAATGCTTCCTGGTACCTCTTGGTATCAAAGTACAAAGACACCAGTCTTGCCTAGGAAAAAAGGCATTGATTGAAGGGAACGGGGGAAAAGCCACAGAAAGAAATCAAAGATTGACAGTCACAGAACTGTCACTGCTGAATATACATGTTGTGATGATAACATCAAGCTCGGCATAACAAATGAGCTAGCCTCCAGTACTGTCTCCTGTTATATCCAACAACTGACTTAACTTCATTATATTGCTCCTTATTTTCCATACTAAAATAACAAATCTGCTTCAAAACATCAGCCAGAAATCAGAACAATTTAAAAGGAAGTTTTAACTCTAGATGTGGTAGCTCACATCTATAATCTTGGGAGATTGAGGCAGGAGATTTGAAGCCATCCTGGGCTATAGAAAAAGATCCTATCTCTTAAAAAAGGAAGTAGACGGTCTGGGTATGCTAGTGCATACCTTTAATCCCAGAACTTAAGAGGCAGAGGCAGGTGGATCTCTGTAAGATCATTGCCAACCTGATCTACATAGCAAATACCAGGCCAGCTGGGGTTACAAAACACAAAGCAAAACACTGTCACAAAAACAAAGCAAAAAACCAACAAACAAACAAACAAACCTACCAAGGCCATTGCCATAACCAGAAATATTAGCAACAATCTTTTCATCACTGAGTAATACAATGTTGCTAAAGATGGGATTATTTATGTTTACAGTTTATCTAATGCTAAAGACAGGAAGTCAGTGATAATGTGAGCACCTACCTCCAATGCTTGGCGTAAGAAAGTTCTTTTCTCTGATTTGGCCCACTCAATGCACTCTAAACACAGCTCTACCTGTAAGAAAGACAGTACATGTAACAGGATGTCCTCATATTCTCCCAACCAACAGTGCTTCGGAGAACAGAAAAACTTTCATTCCCTCCTTATATATTACCCATGTTGCTCTGTTTAAGTGTCCACAGCTTATTCACAGTATCTCAGCACAGGAGAGTTATATCGTAATGAATAATCAACTTGGCTTTTTACAGTTGCGTTCTTAGGACAAAGCTTCCTTTTCAAGCTTCTTCTACCTTCCCAGATAGATAGATATTCAGAACTACCCAATACAAACAGTCCTGTCTATTTTTAGTAATGAAGTATAATTTAAAAACGTCTTATCTTTATGGTAAAGCACAAATCTCTCCCTGAATAGTTGAAAATAGTAATATTCAAATATTATTGTGACTCTACTAGTAGAAAGAGGAATTCCAAGCACAAAGGCCTTGTTCCTAACAGTTATAAGACTCAAAAGGTTTAGCTGGCTCTTTTTCACTAAATATAACAACAAATGCATCATCTGTCTTACAGGAAAACACATACAGTAAACTTAGTTTATATTAAAGGGGAAAAAGAAATTAGAAATAGCCTCATACAATTAAACTTTAAGGAACTCTGAGCCCCCAGTTCTATTTGTCACCCAAACAGTGAGATACTTGGCCTTCCCTGTGAAACAACATAGCATAACACTGGGTTCATAGCATACTAGCTTTGACAGAGGACATATGAAGTACTGCAAATTTTCTGTCACTTCTACTACTGAGTTTTTGTATTAAGGTTGCTAATTGGAGCATAAGACTATGAAATGAGAAACTGAACTTTCTGGAGAACTGTTAATGAGTTTTTATGTTAATTCAAAGTTCTCTAGAGATGCTATAAGGAAAGAAAACTAAAGGAACGTAAGATCTGCCTTCAGATCACAAGTGCAAGCTCATTTAAATAAACTAAAAAATGACAGTTCATTATATTTGGACAATTCACCAGGAGGAGACTCAATGAAACCTTTCTAAATCCTCATTGGAGCCCCCTGGTGGTTAATCTCCAACACTAAACTCAACTGACCTCAAAAATTTTAAGATGAACAAAAACTAAACTAAAAACTAGGCAATCACAACCTTAGAGTTTTGAGTTACATTATGAAAAGCCAAACCCAAGATATCTGTTCATGATATGGATGAACTGAAAATATTATGCTGAATATTTTCAGCAAGAAAAATACAAGAATCTTTGATAAAATTACCCAATTGGCAACATTCTAAATTGTTTTGTGTCAGATTGTATAACACTGTGACCTTTTATGCTTCAGTATACCTTACTGTAGTTGCTATATTGTTGTGAAGCAAAATATATGAAAGTTAAATTGAAGCTCAGTTATCATCATTTTCACTAAGATATCTATTTGTTTAAAATGCTGCCTTTCAAAGAATAATAAAAGTTATGACATTTTTATGAAAAAAAGAAATACAAGACTCTTAAGCCTATATGACTTGTAAGGCCAAGAAATGTCTACTAGTTTTTGGGGGGGAGGCTGGTGTTTTTGAGACAGGGTCTCCCTGTAGCCCCAGCCCACCTCGAACTCACTACATAGACCAGGCTGGCTTCTGAATGCTGGGATTAAAGGTGTGCACCACCACACCTGGCTAATGGCTATCAGTTAATGTCTACCAGGCTTTACATGGGGAGTTTTTTCAAACAATACAAAAATTAATGCTGAGAAACTGGTACATTCCTCTATACTGTTATTCTTTTTTTTAATTTCTATTTATTATTTTTATTTTATGTGTTTGCGTGTATTGCCTGCATGTAGGTAAGTGCACCTGTGTCGTGCAATACCCACAGAGGTCAGAAGAGGCTGTGGATCCCCTTGGAACTAGAGCTACAGACAGTTATTAGCTGTCATGTGGGTGCTGGGATTTGAACCCAGGTCTTTTGCAAAAACAACCAGTGTTCTTAACCGCTGAGCCATGTCTCCAGCCCCTTAAGTTATTCTTGATCTCTATTTCAATTATAGAGTATATGATTTGTATCTAAGGTTTATAATCAGTAAAACCAGTGTCTTAGCTCCAAGGAAAAATTTTAAAGCCACTGAGCTTGCTACATAGTTATTTTCTCTTGGGGGTTTAATTCACTATGTGGGCACCAAGGATCAAACTCAGGTTATCAATCTTGACATCAAGCACCTTTACCCACTGAACCATCTCACCAGTGGCCCCTCCCGTAATATTTTTGATAAGCTCCTTAACATAAAACTCTAGTTCTCTTAACAATATTCTAAAACTTCCTAGTTGCCTCAAGTCTCAATAACACTACAACAGTAAACACCTAGGACTTCCTTCTCTATCCTTTCCCATGACCCAAAGAATTCTCAAAGAACCAAGAATAAGGCCAGGTCTAGTTGAGCATATCTTTAATCCCAGCACTCAGGAGGCAGAGACAGACAGATCTCTGTGAGATCAGGCCAGCCTGGTCTACACAGCAAGTACCAAGCCAGCTGGGGCTACAGGGAGATCCTGTCTCAAACAAACAAACAAAATAACAACAAAAGTATAAAGTATAAACACTGCATCAAATTTCCCCACAAGAAAAACTCCAGGTCACCTAGACAAAAAGTGAGATATAAGGACTCCATGTTCATATATCCACTGAATAAACTCAGATCTTAATTCAACGAAGTATTTTCTGGGCATCTGAGGAGGTGTAACCTGTACACTCACTCCTTCAAGTACTCATTATATAATTTCTTTGAAACAAACTACTCTGTCAGCAATACAACAGTAAGCAGGACAATGGAGCTATCCACATAGAACTCTTACCATAAGGAGGAAACACACTAGGCAAGTAAATTAAGTATGAAGAAAACTAAAGAACAGATTAGGTATTTAGTAAAGCGATCACCGAAGAGAAAGGAGTGAACAGTGCCGGGCGTGGTGGCGCACGCCTTTAATCCTAGCACTCAGGAGGCAGGCAGAGGCAGGCGGATCTCTGTGAGTTCAAGGACAGCCTGGTCTCCATGGTGAATCCAAGATAGCTGGGGCTACAGGGAGATCCTGTCCCAGAAAAAAAAAAAAAAGTAAGGAGTGAACAAAACATAAAATAATGTGAAGAAAAAAAAAACAACCAAGATCAGGTAAAGGTCCTATTTTTTGCCTGCCATTTATAGTAGTTTTACATGTTACTTTGGCAACATGTATGCTGCCCCTTTGGCTTTTATTGTATGATTCACATTTAAAACTTGACTTCTGGCTGGGTGTTTTTAATCCCAGTACTTGGGAGGCAGAGGCAGAAGGTATCTCTGTGAGTTCGAGGCCAGCCTGGTCTACATAGTGAGTTCCAGGCCAGCTGGGGCTACAGGGAGACCCTGCCTCTAAAAAACAAAACAAAAGGGCTGGAGAGATGGCTCAGCAGTTAAGAGTGCTGACTGTTCTTGCAGAAGACTCAGGTTCGAACCCCAGTACCCATATGGCAGCTAACAACTGTTCGTAACTCCAGTTCCAAAGGATCCAACAGCCTCTTCTGTCCTCCACAGGCATTGTACGTCACAGGTGCACTTACCTACTTGCAGGGAATACACACATACACATAAAATAAAAAAAATAAAATAAAATATTTTTTTTAAAAAAGAAAAGAAGCAGCAGCCAAAGAAGACATCAGCTCCCCTGGAGCTGGAGTTACAAGCAGTTATGGGTTGCCTGATGCGGTGCTGGAAACAGAAGCCAGGTCCTCTGCAAGAAAAGCAAGCACTCTTAGCCCCTGAGCCAGCTCTCCAGCCAAATAAGTGCAATTTTTTTCAATAAAGCATATAACTAGGGGCTGGAGAGATGGCTCAGTGGTTAAGAACACTGGCTGTTCTTGCAGAAGACCCGAGTTCAAATCCCAGTACCCACATGGCAACTAACAACTGTCCATAACTCCAGTTCCGGGGATCCGACAGCCTCTTCTGTCCTCCGTGGGCACTGTACGACACGGGCGCACTTACCTACATGCAGGCAATACATGCATACACATAAAATAAAAATAATAAATAAAAAATATTAAAAAAAAAAAAAAGCATATACCTGATAACTGAAAAAACTACCAAAGAAATCCTGATCAATGGAACAAGACTTGGGCTCTTAATAAAAGCCAAACTGCTAATTGCCAAAAACAAAAGGAAAAAAAAAACAAAACACCAGTCTTAATACTAAAGTAAGACACATTAAAATGATAAGATGCAGCCAGGCATGATACTGAAATGCCTGTAATCCTAGCACATGGAAGGTTAAGGCAGGAGGATCTAGAGTTCTAGGCCAGCCTGAGCTACACAGGGAGTTCAAGGCCTATTATGAGACCAATTAATTAATTTAATGACAAAATGTCTTAGCTTCCTTTTACTCTAAAATAAGGGAAAAAAAGGTTGTTAATTGGTAAAAATGAACAATGGTAATGTACAAACACAATTAAGGGAGAGCCTAGCCAGACCTGGAATCATATAACAAAGGCCAGTAAATCCCCCTGGTCAATTAAAAGAGAGCACCAAATTATGAGCTAAGGATACTATAAAGGGGTAAGAGCTGAAAACTGCACAAAGGTAATTCTACCCACTGTCAGCTCTATGTTATAGGAAGAAACAAATCTGAAAACTTCACCAGGTAAAGGACTAGCTTAGACAGTTTTCTATTTAAAAAGTTCAAAGTATCTGGGTACGGTGGTCCACACTTTTAATCCCAGCACTGGGGAGGCAGAGGCAGGCAGGTCTCTCTGAGTTTAAGGCCACCTTGGTCTACATAATGAGTTATAGACCAGCTGGGGATACAGGAGACCTTGTCTCAAAAAGACAAAAGACACCACCCACCCAAAACAGTTCACAGTAGCATTTATTAGTTAGAAGCTAGCATTTATTAGCCTATTTTAAGGAGCTCTACTTCAGACAAAAGATGGTACCACTCTCATGAATACAAAGTACATCGTCTGGAGAGATTAGCGGTTAACAGCACTGGCTGTTCTTGCAGAGAACCTGGGTTCTGTTCCCAACACCCACATGGTAGCTAACAACCATCTGTAATTTCAGTTCCAGGGGAGCCCCTCTGCTGGCCTCTGTAGGACTGCATGTATGTGGCACACCTGCATACACATTCAGGCAAAACACTCATAAACCTAAAAATTAATTAAAATTTATTTTTCAAACGGTAGAGTTTTGGGGCTGGAGAGATGGCTCAGCGGTTAAGAACACTGGCTGTTCTTGCAGAAGACCCAGGTTTAAATCCCAGCACGCATATGGCAGCTAACTCCATTTCCAGGGGATCCTACGGCCTCTTCTGTCCTCCGCAGGCATTGTATGACACAGTGCACTTAGCTACATGCAGGTAATACATGCATACACATAAAATAAAAATAATAAATAGCCAGGCATGGTGGCACATGCCTTTAGTCTCAGCACTCGTGAGGCAGAGGGCAGGCGGATATCTGTGAGTTTGAGGCTGCCCTGGCCTCCATAACAAATCCAGGCCAGCTGTAGCTACAGGGAGACCCTGTCTCAAAAAGACCAAAAAGACGAAAGAAAGAAAGAAAGAAAGAAAGAAAGAAAGAAAGAAAGAAAGAAAGAAAGAAAGAAAGAAAGAAAGAAAGAAAGGAGGGAGGGAGGGAGGGAGGGAGGGAAGGAAGGAAGGAAGGAAGGAAGGAAGGAAGGAAGGAAGGAAAGAAAAATAATCTTTAAAAGGTAGTGTTTTATAAGATTATTATCTCTAAAAACATATTTTCTTTTACTCACAAAAATAATTCTGGCCAGGCATGGTGGCGCATGCCTTTAATCCCAGCACTTGTGAAGGGAGGCAGAGGCAGGCAGATCTCTGTGAGTTCAAGGCCAGCCTGGTCTACATAGTGAGTTCCAGGACTGCTGGGGCTAAGGGAGACCCTGTCTCAAAAAGACCAAAAATTAATTAATTAATTAATTAATTGATTGATTAATTAATTCTGGCTGGGCATTGTGGCACATGCCTTTAATTCCAGCACTGGGAAGGCAAAGAGGCAGGGACTGCTGTGAGTTTGAGGCCAGGCTGATCTACATAGTGAGTTCCAAGCCACCAGAGCTATATAATGAAACCCTGTCTCAAAAACAAAAACAGAAAAAATTCTAATACTTTGGTTCAAAAGTCAGTCATCAAAATAATATCAACTTTTGACTTACAATTATAAGCCAGAAACAAATAAATTTAAAGACTATTCTGCAAGTGAAATTTGTAACTTGGCTTCAAGGAATCATTACAACAAAAAATAACAAGACAATTCTAAAGTGGGACCCATGTGTCCTGAATTTCTGAAATTTCTCACTCTATTCACGCTACTATGGCCTTACATATTTTTTAATGTGCATATTCACCTACAGCAATTAGACAACTAGCAACTCTACCCTGAGTTTATATACTATCATACTCATATATTATCTGCTTTCCCTGTTAAAATATAAGCCTCATGAGACTATTGCAATGTTTTTTAACCGCATCCCTATTAGCTATAACAGCACCTAATGCACGACAGGTACTCTAGTACTGATAAATATATCTATATGAAAGGCAGCAACTACAGTCTTCCTACAGATGCAAGCTACAACATACCCTTCTGGAATCTGCCACATTACAAAATGATTTTTATTTTTATATGTATCCCTTTCTTTCTTTCTGGCCTTTTTTTGAGACAGGGTCTCCCTGTAGCCCCAGCTGGCCTGTAACTCAGTATGTAAACCAAGCTGGCTTTGAACTCACAGAGATTCACCTGCCTCTGCCTCCTGAGTACTGGGATTAAAAGACGTGCACCACCACGCCCAGCTATGTATCCTTTTCTAAATTACAGATAATGCAGCTATTTGAAAGGCTGGAAGAAACTGATTCCAGAGAGGTGCTCTTTTGAAGAGGTCTAGTTTGAACTCCTAAGTATCATGTATAGAAGGATCAGTCACTTCCCAGCACATGAAACACAACAGATGGATGCTCACCCCTTAACAAAGGCATGTAGGGAGTACAAAACATGCCAAGAAAAAGGATGCCACAAGGCTTAATTAGTGCTCATAAGAAACTTTGTGACACAAGATGAAAGGTACCACAGACACAGGAAACATTACAAAGGTATGGCAATACAATACCTCAAAGACAAGAATCAGTTTGTGACCCTGATGTAATGAGGATTCCAGGGACCACTGACAAGCTCCACTTACAAAGCAAAGCATGGAACAGACCCAAAGTATCAAATGCCCTGTAACAAAGAGAAACTGACATGATAAGTCCTGAGCAGTCCTCCCAGCTGTCCCTTCTACATAGTACCAGTGAGGCAGGCATTTCTTTCATTGAAACAAACCTTTTTTCACATTATCTGTTTTCTGTCATTACCATAACATACCTCCTGCCCTGTAGCTGCTTCCATATCAAGAAACAGATCAAGAAGAGACCGAACCAGGCGAGCTGCTTTAGCCTTACTGATGGAATTCAAGAAAGGCCGTACATACTTCAGGAGTCCTCCAAGTTCTGTGCGGAAAGCAATTCAGAAAATGAAAAGTAAACGTTAATATTAGGATCAAAATATTCATTTAAGGGGGCTGGAGCAATGGCTCAGAGGTTAAGAGCACTGGCTATTCTTGTAGAGGACCTGAGTTCGGTTCCTAGCACCCACATGGCAGCTAACAGCTGTTCATAACTCCAGTTCTGGGGGATCTGACACACTCTTCTGACTTCCACAGGCTTTGTATGACATGGGAGCACTTACACACAGGCAAGCAAAACACTCATACACATAAAATTAAAATAAACTAGGCCAGGCATGGTGGCGCAAGCCTTTAACCCCAGCACTTCCGAGGCAGAGGCAGGCAGATCTCTGTGAGTTCAAGGCCAGCCTGGTCTACAAGGTGAGTTTCAGGCCAGCTGGGGTTACAGAGAGCTCCTGTCTCAAAAACAAATAAATAAATAAATAAATAAATAAATAAATACATACATACATACATACATACATAAAATTATTTTTAAAAATTTTATATCTGGCCGGGCATAGTGGCACATACCTTTAACCCCAACACTTGGGAGGCAGAGACAGGCGGATCTCTGTGAGTTCGAGGCCAGCCTGCTCTAATAGTGAGTTCCAGGACAGCTGGGGCTACAGGGAGACCCTCTCTTAAAAAGACAAAAAAAAATAAAAAATTTTAAATCTATTATAGAATATAAAATATGCTATGCACCTGCCCACTTTGGACAAAAATCACCTTCTTACAACCAACAACTACAATCAAGTTACAAAGCGAATCTATTTTTAATTCCCCAGTCTATGGCTCAGGCCATTTTCCTTAAACAGACAGAGATTCTCAATTCTGTGTTCCCTCCCTCCCTTCTTGATGTGCTCCCAATAGAGTCTTTCAGCAGTAATATTTCTTTGGCATTCTTCTGAAATGAATATACTTTTCACAAAGATGTTAGGATGCCTTCTTGTCCTTCAAATTTTATTATATATACACTTTAAAAATTCCTCATTAATCTCCAAAACCTAAGTCTTAAGTAATGACTAAAAAAAAGCACTCTTCCTTTTAGATAAGGACAGAATAGGAAATCTAAGGAGTAACTTTAGATAAACAGAGATGCACTTATTAAACAATAAAAATTAATGTTTAGTTAACCAAATAAAACTAAGGAAGTATTTTTGGAATGTAGGTTGAAATTACTTTAGTGCCATTGCCTCTTTAATATTCTCCAATTGTAGACTCACCCTCCTGAGAACTCTAATTCAGGGCAACCAAACTTTGCCCTCTTGAGAATGCCAATTTAGTGTCCTTGAAATCCTCACCTGCCTGAACTGGATGCACAGGACTATGAATGTTGCTAAAGGAATGCTATACAGAATGAAAAAGTCCATCCTTTCTTTCATTCCCCAGTACTGACTGACCTTTGACTCCCTACACAAGTTCCTATTCTGCTTTCTCATTCACCCTCATACACTATACACCTGAATTCAAGTGGCTCTCATGCCACAAGCCAATCTGAGATGACCCCATCTTCCTGACCTGTGAGGCTCAGCAAAAGTACTACTGAGTCTTTCATGCTAACTTCAGTCTACAGTGGTATTTCCCCCATAATCGTTCTTGTGCCCTTCTGTCTCCTATCTTCCACTGTGCCCTCCCTACTACAATAAATGAAACCTCTGGAACATGGACAAAATAAATCTTTCCTACCCTTAAAAAAATTCTGGCCAGGCATGGTGGTGCACGCCTTTAGTCCCAGCACTCAAGAGGCAGAGGCAAGTGGATCTCTGTGAGTTCAAGGCCAACCTGGTCTACATAGTCAGTTCCAAGCCAGTGGGAGCTACAGGGAGACCCTGTCTCGAAAAGACCAAAAAAAAAGTCTTTTTCTTCCATATTTCCTACTATGTTTGAAAACTTACTATTTCTAATGACTGAAATATTCAGAAAGTAGCCTATCTTAATGTAGGTCAAACTATTCTTTTTCGAAACAAATCTTTATCTTCTACACATCTTCAAATATTTAAAGATATTCACATTTCTCTAACCTTTCATTTCTCCAAGCTAAACACCTTTAAAACTATTCAATTGTTCCTCCATTGTCCTTGTTTCTAGGTTACTTATCCATCAGCAGCCCTTCTCTGAATAAGTTATATTGGTAAAAGTGCTTCTGACATGTTTGTGATCCCCAAGACTGAAGGAAATACTCAAAGAGTGATCTATAAGGAAGGAAACTTAATTCTCCTGATCTGGATACCAAATGTAGCACAACAAAGTTTTTAATAAGAGGAAGGGGAAGTTTTTGTGTTTTTTTTAAAATGTGTATGAGTGTTTTGTGTGCATGTAAGCAAGTGCTCCTATGCGTGCAGTGCCTGTAGAGGTCAAAGGAGGGTGTCAGATTCACTGCAGTTGTAGTTATGGACAGTTGTTAGTTGCCGTATGGTTTCTGGAAACTGAACACAGGTCCTCTGCAAGAGCAGTCAGTGTTCTTAACTCCTGAGCCATCTCTCCAGTCACAGAGAGGTAGATTTTTTGAGAAAGGGTCTCAAGCTACAGCGAAGGCTGGTGATCAAACTCACAAAACTCGTGCCTTTAGACTCCAGAAGTGCTGCAATGATAGGAGTGTATTACCACACCCCAGCTACAAGATTTCATTATTCGTTCAGACTGAGTCCATCGAGGTCTTTTTTGCAGACTATTATTCAGCCCACTGTAAATTTACAACCTATGCCTACTGTATTACTGTTATAGTTCAAACATCCTACTTTCATCAAATATATATTCTATGTCATTCTTCTACTCAATAAGTTAGCCAACTTCTGTTAAAAGGCCAGATAGTAAGCCGGGCGTGGTGGCGCACACCTGTAGTCCCAGCACTTGGGAGGCAGAGGCAGGTGGATCTCTGTGAGTTCAAGGCCAGCCTGGTCTACATAGTGAGTTCCAGGACAGCTGGGGCTATAGGGAGACCCTACTTCAAAAAGACAAAAAAAAAAAAAAAAAAGGCTAAGTTTTTTTAGCATTATAGGTTATAAGGTTTCGGTCAGTAGTAGCTTCTAAATTAAGCCTCTGTAGTATAAAGGCAGTCATAAACATGGAAATGGGTTGTGACCATGTTCAAAACAACTGTTTATAAAAAAAGATGGCACGTAAATCCTCTAACCCACTGTTTAATTAAAATCTAATCAATCATCTGTCCTAGAACCTCACTGATGATTTCAGTTTGCAGTATCTATATCTATTCTTTTCATTATCTGTTTGAAAGCTGGAATAATGCTGGCCTATCCTCAGTTTCCTTATACTTCATCCTCCATGATTTTTCTCAGAATAAGTGGTTCTATTGTAATTGTACCTGCAAGAACTACTCTTGATACTAAAAGACAGAAATTGTCAGAGCCTATAGGGTTGAACTTAAAAAGACCAAGTGCTCTCCTCTCTCACCTACCTTGTCTTTAATTCTCTTTCTGATGTTATTTCTATCTTTCTTTTTGAAAATCACTTTCCTTCCTAGAAAAGGCAGAAGTGAAACATAAGCTAAGTGGTCTGCCTTTATCTCAAGCATCTGCCAGCTTTATTCTACTACTGTTTTGTGTTCGCCTGCCTCTGCCTCTGCCTCACAAGTGCTGGGATTAAAGGTGTGCACCACCACACCCGGCTGTGTTCATTCTTATATATACTCAGTTTTTTTCCATAAAATCATATTCCCAGTCTCACTGAGACTATTTGTGATTATATGACCATAATCTTCTTAGATCCTAACAAAATTCAATGGATTCTTTTATTTTATGAGTCTTAGGCTATGATTCATATGGATCCTGAAGCTACAACGCTTGTCTGGTAATGCTCAGCACTATTTGCAATCACTACTATCAGACAATGGCTTATTCATTAATCCCCAAGTACTATTTTCTTTTCTTTTGAGACAGGGTTTCACTATGTAGCCCTGACTGACTGGCCTGGAGCTCACTATACAGACCAGGATGGTCTTGAACTCTCAATGATCTACTTGCCTCTACATGAGTCACAACATCCAGCCAAACAATTTTGATAATTAGTCCATATCAAATATAGTCTATAATTTTTCTGGCAATATTATAAAGCCAAATGAAGAGATGTGAGAATTTTCTATTGCTAAAATATCTAAATCTTTGTTTCCTCCAGCAGCATAAATAATTAAAAACTGGGCCTAGTATATAAAGTCAGTATTCCAGTAATTTTTAATCCAATGATATTACTGCTTTGCTTGAAATTCCCACTTCATGGGGTTGGAGAGATAGCTCAGCGGTTAAGAACACTGACTGTTCTTGGAGAAGACCCAGGTTCGAATCCCAGCAACCACATGGCAGCTAACAAGTGTCCATAACTCCACTTCCAAAGGATGCAACAGTCTCTTCTGTCCTCCTCAGGCATTGCATGACATGGGTGCACTTAACCTATATGCAGGCAATACACACATACATATAAACTAAAAACAGTAAATAAAATATTAAAAAAAAAGAAATTCCCACTTCATGATTATTCTCTCAATATTCTTGCCCTCTCCAATATGTGACCCAATATGTGATTAGTTTAGAAGTAGACTACTACACCTATTAAAATTTAACAGGTGAATTTTATAAGTTTTCTCTATTTCTTTTTTAGCTTAACTACTGATCCACATGGGTCAGTATACACACAACAGAAACCTTACAGAAGTCTTGAAGCCTATAATATTCATTTACTATTTCTGATATTAATTATTTGATAGATTGCCACTGTTTATTTCCTGAGAACAGAAAATATGTCTATTCCATTAATCTTCAGTTTTGCTTTATTACTCATTCAATAGATGCCTGGCACTGTGCTAAAAACTGCTCAATGGATGGGCATGGTGGCGCATGCTTTTAATCCCAGTACTCAGAAGGCAGAGGCAAGAGGATCTCTGTGACTTTGAGGCCAGCCTGGTCTCCCTAGCAAATCCAGGCCACCTGTGGCTTATAGGGAGACCCTGTCTCAAAAAGACCAAAAGATCAAAAATAAAAAAATTAAAAAATTAAAAAAAAAACCTCTGTTCAAAAAGTTTAAGCTAGGATCCTTGATTGAAAATTGTACTTAGAACTGGGCATGGTGGTGCAGAGGCAGGCAGATTTGAGTTCAAAACCAGCCTGGTCTACATACACACCAAGTTCCGGGGCAGCTTGGGTTACATAATTACATAGTAAGAACCTGTCAGGAAAAGTAGGAAAAAAAAGTTTGGAACCCCAAATACACATTAAATGATAAACAATAGGAATCAATAAATATTCTAATTAAGAAAAAAGTCAAGGGGGCTGAAGAAATGGCTCAGAGGTTAGGAGCACTGACTGCTCTTACCCGGGTTCAATTCCCAACACCTACATGGCAGCTAATAACCATCTGTAACTCCACTTCCAGGGGATCCAACACCTTCTTCTGACCTCTGTGGGCATTGCACAACAGGGGTATGCTTGGAGGCAATACACTCATACATGTAAAATAAAAATAAATAAAATATTAAAAAAATAAAGAAAAATAAACAAATAAAAAGAAAAAAGTCAGTTAAAATGAGTAAACCACTACCCATCATTGGTAATCCATACATTGATGACTAAAGTAAAGCAATAACAACCGAGCCAATAAGCCATAAGTTCTAAAATGGGACTACAGGGTTTCAAATCCTAGATCTACCATATTTGCTGAGTTAACCTGGGTAAGTTATTAAATATATTAAAATACCTACTTTCAAACTGTTTCTCAATCAGCTAAACCATGTGTGTGTTCAAAAGAGTTTAAAAATACTCAAAACTCATTAGGTATAGTTGTTCATATTACAGCTATTTAAAACTGACATTTTATTTTATCTTTGAATCAGGGTCTCACTGTGTAGCCCTGGCTGGCCTAGAACTCAGCTATGTAGACCAGGCCTATCTTTGCCCCACCACCACCACCCCAGTGCTGGGGTTAAAGGAGTGCACCTCCATACCCAGCCTGAAACTGACATTTTAGATAAAAGGCCCACATAAACACATCCCAGAATTTCACATACATCTTTATTCAACTTTCTACTGACTGAGCCAGTCATTCAAAAAAGTTAAATTCTCATTAACTATAAAAGATCTTAGTTTTCAAGTTCAAGGAATTTTGTAAAGTTATCGCCACCATTCTCTTGGTTATCTACATAATTTGAAAAAAGAAATAATCTATGAGGTTATTGAAATCAAATAGTCAAATTCATTTTTTTTTTTTTTTTTTTTTTTTTTTTTTTTTTTTTTTTTTTAAAATGTGTATTTTATAAGTGGAAACTTCAGACAAAACACGCAGGCAACAAACAAAGAAATACCCACCTCTGCCTCCGCCTCGCAAGTGCTGGGACTACAGGCGTACGTCACCATACCCGGCTGTCAAATTCACTTCAAAGCTGACAAAAAAATAATAATAATAATCCATTTTAAGTTTAGATAAACTTTTCTCCAATATGATTACCACTTTACTGGTCAAAGGTCCTTTCAACAGGACTCGCTCCTCACTGCAAGGACACACCCATCATCCAACTATCATCTGAAGCCCAGACAGCCAAATGGTTCAATTACAACTAGAATGAGTGGACAATAATACACACAAAAACTCCCAGGTAAAAGAAAAAGTCTTGGGAAGGGACAATTTAAATGTTACTCATCAGGAAGTCTTTCTGCATCAGAAAAAGTGAGTCTGTTGGATACAAAATCCATAGTCATTTTCAAGTGAAGGGCCTAAAGGCACTCTCCTGAAATATACCAGAGCTATTCAGTGAAATGACTGCTGCTGCCCACATGTAAGGAAACACAATGAGAATTCAAATATCCGCAACAAATCACAGATCACTATATCCCAACAAAAATAGGATTTCCCTCACCCGTAATAAAATTCTACACTTAACTTTCTGCTACAAAACTGAAGCTCAACAAGTTGCCAAGAAAATAAAACCAAACAATATGGGTGTTAGATGCAGCCTCACATGTTTTTTTTTCCTCCAACAAAAAACAAGAACTTCACAAGGCATTTCAGATACAAGCACTGTAGATACAAACCATTTGTAACTTACCAGCAGCTTGTCCAGTCTTCGCCAGGAGAGACCCCAATTCAAGGATGCTCTGCTCTTTGACCTGCACTGCCTCCTCATCATTTTCCTGAATGTCACGCTTCACTGTGAAAAGAAAATGCACTCTTAAAATTATGATTAAAAAACTACGCAAGAGAAGGGTCTGGAGAGATGAATCAACAGTTAAGAGTACTGGCTGCTCTTGCAGAGGACCTGGGTTCTGTTCCCAGCACCCACATGGCATCAAACAACATCCTCTTCTGGCCTCTGTAGGCACCAGGTACAAATAATAAATGCAGGCCAAACACTCATACACATAAAATAATTTTTTTCACTCTTTAAAAAAAAAATGAAGCAAGGTAAAACTTCACCTTCGCCAAATCCATTATGAACTCAAAACATATTTACCAAATACAAACAAATAAGGGGGGAAAAACTCTAAGGAAAAGTAAAATGATCATGTATATGTAGGGCATGCTTCGTGTCAGTCATAATAGATTCTTCTCTTTGAGTAAATGGGCCCTTCAATCAACTGCTTAGAATTCCCCTTACCCACAGACACTGAGACCTCTGCTGTTCTTGCTTAAAGTAAAATTAAAACAAATCCTTCCTGCTTATGGTGATGAGCCCCATGCTAGTCACTATGATATAAAGATATAAAACATCCCTGTGCATTTACCTGTCACAAACTAAAATCAAATTATAAAGTTCTGATGATTAGAAACCTGTCTTTCATTAAACTCTTAAGTCTGTAGAAAGCTTCAGCTAATGGGTGTGTTAGGAATAAAAAAAGTCTATAAAGCCATTCCAGAAAAATCCCTATCAAAGCTTCTGTGTCATGCTGAACAATAACACTTGGGACAGACTGCAGCCTTATAATGGATTCAGGTCCTGTTAAAATAACTTTCTATCTGTCCCACTTTCAAATGTTAATAATTACTCAACCACTTGAACATCAACGCCTCTCCAACTCTGTGGTGCTTATTTTAGTGATCATCACTAGTTACTATTTCTCTTATAAAGCCACATGACTTGACAAAAACCAAGATTGTGATACTCCATGATGGAGTATGGAAAAAGTAAGGCTGTCAACCATCATGACTCAAGCTTGCTCTCACAAGGAAGCTTGAAAGAACTCTCTTCTAGCACAATGAGCAAGCAAGAAATACTCTAAAGGTAACATTTAGCAGTTAATTTCTACTTCCTGAAAGACTAATTAGGTACTAGGCACAAAAAAAGTTAAAATTCGTGCTCCTCAGATTAGTTGTAGATATTAATGTATATTCATTCACAGAATTAAAAAACCTATATAACAGATAGGATGATTCTGGTACTCTATTCTGTAACTGACTTAAGACCGGAGCTTGGAAACGAAACTTAAGATTATCCCTTCAAAGATGCATCTTAAATCTCCTCTCTTTCTCTAGTACCCCCAAAGATAAAGGCACCCAGATCTTATCATTGTCCTTTCTCTGAGCAAGTCTGGAGTCCGAAATTCAACAGAATAAGTAAGTCAACATAAACAACCAGGAAGTCCGACATACACGTGTATTCTCATACTACTTGTTGATCCAATCGGAACATTCTCAGGCTACATTTAAAAGATCACATTACCACAAGAGGAAACCAATGCTCTAACTGAAGCCTTCGGCAATGAACATTAAAAGGCCTTCTCCATCCTCATAAATTTATTTCTGTTCATACCTGAATCTCAGTAAAAAGCGAATAGTTCCTATTCCAACTTTCCTGTTGACCGCAGATTTTAAACGATCACACCACGGTCATTTTCTGAAGTCATAAGCGGCCAGCGGGTTCCAAAGTTTCCTGAACTCATCCAGCTGACAAGCAACTCCTGAACTAACTTCAACCCGACAAAGGAGATCTGGAGGATTAGTCACCTCTCTAGCCCGGCGGTCCCACCCCGATGCTTCGCCCTCCGTCTACTTCGGGCAGAGGATCGTCTCGGCCACCGCCTCACCAAATGCCAATCTGGGGTGTGTGGCACCCCTCAACTTCCCACATCCAGAAGGAGGCCCTCTCTCACTGGAGCCCGCTGCTAAGGGCTGAGAAGTTCCAGCGTCCCGCGGAAGAAAACTCCACAGCAGGCGCTCGCGCTCCCACTCGGAGCAACCTGTGCTGATAACGGCGGGAAATGCCCGTCCCGAGAGGGCTTCGCCTAGGCCTTTCCACACCACACTCTCCAACTAGTTTGTAACCAGCCTGCCGGCCGGCGCAGCTCAAATTCCGGGCTAGCTCGTGCGGGCCGGAGCTGAGAGCAGGCGGAGGAGTGGGGAGCCTGGCCCGGCCCTCTCTCCGCGCCGCGCTACGCCCACCGTGAGTCAGCAGCCGGCAGGTAGACCCGCGGGCTGCCTCGGGGCTTCCCGCCGCACTGGTGGTCAGAGCGCTCCCGGGGCCCCGAAGCGGCCTGCGCCCCCGGCCCGGCCCCCCTCACAGTGAGTCAGCAGCACCACAGCCGGCTAGCCCGGCCCCTCGCCGCCGCCGCCGACCTACACAGGTGGCGCCAGGCCAACGGGGCCACTGGGACGGCGCGGGGACCTTTACCGATGGAGTGGAGGATGTCGATAGAGGCCTCCCGGTCGGTGCTGAGTAGTGACTGGGCTCTCTGGAACTCCACCACCGCTGCGGCCGCCATCTTACCGCTCTCACACCGTCCCCGGCAGCGGCCGCCGACGCCGGAAACACACACCCGGAAGGCCCGCCCTCGCGTCCCTCCCCCAAGACCCCGCCTCCCTCCCCGGAGCACCCCGGGAGTTGTAGTCTCTCTCTGCTGGGCGGGGGCGACGGGAGGGATGAGAGCCCGAGCTTCCCGCCGGTGGCCTGAGAGCTCCCCAGCACCACCTCGTGGCCAGCCAGTGAAGAAAGGCACAGTACTCGAAGTCAGCCCCAGCTCACCCCAAAATAGGCCTAACTCCCAGAGTTTTTGAGCACCTGGCTAAGTAGTCAAAGAAAGCCTTTTGGCTGTCTTTGTTGCGTCCACGTTCAAACTATTACTCTTGGTGATAGATGGTTTTACAAATTGCCTGCACTAGCTGGACGTGGTGGCACACGCCTTTAATCCCAGCACTCGGGAGGCAGAGGCAGGCGGATCTCTGTGAGTTCAAGGCCAGCCTGGTCTACATAGTGAGTTCCAGGACAGCTGGGGCTACAGGGAGAACCTGTCTCAAAAAGACCAAAAACAAAACGAAAAAAAAATTGCCTGCACTATGGCAAGGAATAGTACCATTTAGATGCATGCAAATGTCTTCATACTTGCTGGACAGATACACACGCACACTCTTTCCAGGTTTGAATTCTAGTCAATGTGACTAAAGTCACCAGTGTCACAAAACACTGTCTCTCCCAAATAACCCATTCAATCTTTGGACAGAGCATCACAAGAGCTTCACATGATGAACTGAAAATCATCTTTGATCCATTCATTCAAGATAAATACTTCTTGGGATTCACACAGAAGACTCACCCCAGCTCCTCAGCTCAACAAAAGAACACGTTTTTCTTCCCATCTCCAGTCCTGTAACTGTAATCAGATATCTATGAAGATATGAAGGGGAAGGGAAAAAGCCATTTTACGTGACCAGACGTTTTAAAACTAAGGGTGTTCCCAAAACTGTACAGAGGGAGGCCTTCTGAATGATGACAATCAAGAAATGGAATATGCTCTCCTATAAAGGGATCTGTAAGTGGAACCAACATTGGCACTCCTGTGTGACTGGATCAAGTAATCAATACATCTGTGTGTGTGTGTGTGTGTGTGTGTGTGTACCTGCCATGGCATGACTGTGGAGGTCAGAGGACACTTGTGGAAGTCAGTTCTCTCCACTATCTATGTGAGGTTCAGGGATCACAAAGATGATCAGACTTGGCAGCACCCTTACCTTCTGAGTCCTCTCAGGGGTCCTATGTATTTTTCTTAACCTTTTGAATTGTCTCATCATTAAGAAGATGCAGTGTGAAGCCTGGAGTAGTGGTACACACCTTTGATCCCAGCACTTGGGAGGCAGAGGTAGGCGGATCTCTGTGAGTTCAAAGCCAGCCTGGTCTACAAAATGAGTTCCAGGCCAGCTGGGGCTACAGGGAGACCCTGTTTTAAAAAGACAAAAACAAACGAAAAAAAAAAAAGAGTGTGGATCTCATGTTAAGCATCCTGACCACAATAACACATTAAAAAAAAAAAAAACAGCATTCAGTCAAGTATGGTGGTAGATCTCAGCATTTAGGAGGCAAAGCCAAGAGGATTAACACAAGTTCAAGGCCAGCCTAGTCTGCATAGTTCCAAGCTAGCCTGGACTACAGAGTGAGAACCTGTCTCAAAAATCAAAATAAGGGGTGGAGAGATGGCTCAGCTATTAAGAGCACACAGTGCTGTCCCAGAGGACCAGCGATCGATTGCCAGCAACTACATCAGGCAGTTTAGAACTGCACATAACACCAGATCCTGGGAGGTCTGATACCTCTGACTTCCATGGGTACCTATGCTCACATGCTCATATTCTCTCTCTTTCTCTCTTTCTCTCTCTCTCTCTCTCTCGCTCTCTCACTCTCCCTCACACACACACATACATTTACATATAATTAAAAACAAAAACCTTTAAAAAAAAAAAAAGGAACACACTGAAAGCCAAGTATGATGGCACACACCTATAATCTCGGTATTTGGGAGCTGGAGACAAGAAGATCAAGAGTTAAAGTTCACAGATTCGAATCCCAGCACCCACATGGCTGCTAACAACTGTCCATAACTCCAGTCCCAGGGGATCCAACAGCCTATTCTGTCCTCTGAGAGCATTGCACGACACGGGTGCACTTACCTACATATAGGCAATACACACATACACATAAAATAAAAATAATAAATAAGGGGCTGGAGAGATGGCTCAGCAGTTAAGAGAAATGACTGCTCTTGCAGAGGACCCGGGTTTGATTCCCAGCACCCATATGGCAGCCAGCTACGAACTGTTCTTAACTCAAGTTCCAGGGGAATCTGAAGCCCTCTTCTGTTCTCTGCAGCATTGCATGACACAGGTGCACTCACACACATGCAGACAATACATTCATACACATAAAATAAAAATATGAAACAAAATAATTTTTTAAAAAATAATTTTTTTTAAAAAAAAAGAGTTGAAGGTCAGCCTACATAGTGAGTTTGAAGTTAGCATGGGCTACCTGAGATCCTGTCTTTAAAAAAAAAAAAAAATTAGGTGTTGTGGGGCACCCCTTTAATCCCAGCAAAAGTAGGCAGACCTCTATGAGATCCAGACCAGTCTGGTCTATGGACATAGTGAGTTCCAGGCCAGCTGGGGCTACAGGGAGGACCCTGTCTCAAAAAAACAAAAAAAAAAAGCCAGGCATGGTGGCGCGCGCCTTTAATCCCAGCACTTGGGAGACAGAGGCAGGCGGATCTCTGTGAGTTCAAGGCCAGCCTGGTCCACATAGTGAGTTCCAGGACAGCTGGGGCTACAGGGAGACCCTGTCTCAAAAAGACCAAAAAAAAAAGAAAAAGATATGTAATACATATCATCATTGCAGACATCTGGTAGTCAATTCATAATGGCCCCAAAACAATTAAGTCATCCATGAGAACCTTATATTAATGTGGTAGTGATACTTACTAAACTGATTTTCTATTAGAATGCAAACTAATGGTTTTATGACCTCTTCATAGATATATTGTACTTTGTTCATGTTTGCCGCCTCCAACTACACTAGCCACCTTTCCTTCCCTCATAAGTCCCTTCTGTATGTTTGTGTATTTCAATCTAAATTCTCCAGGAGAGAAAATATGTAATCCTTGTCATTCTGAATTGATTTATTTCACTCAATATGATGATTTTGTTCCATTTATTTTCCTAAAAATTTGCATAATTTCATTTTTTAGGCTGAAACTTTTTTTTTTTAGAATTTTATTTGGCTCAGCGGTTAAGAACACTGGTTGTTCTTGAAAAGACCCGGGTTTGAATCCTAGCAACCACATGGCAGCTAAGAACTGTCCGTAACTCTAGTCCCAGGGGATCCAAAAACCTCTTCTGACCTCTGAGCATTGCACAACACGGGTGCACTTACCTACGTGCAGGCAATACATGTATACACATAAAATAAAATAAATAACTGGGCCAGGCATGGTGGCGCACGCCTTTAATCCCAGCACTTGGGAGGCAGAGGCAGGAGGATCTTTGTGAGTTCAAGGCCAGCCTGGTCCACATAGTAACTCCAGGACAGCTGGGGCTACAGGGTCTCAAAAAGACCAAAAAAAAAAAAAAGTACGGGGCACCAAAAAGTTAAAATCTCCACCACCACCATGTGATACCACTATCACCACCACCTCCATGCTAGTACTAAATTCTTCTTCCTCTTAACCCCATCAAACCATCTGAGTATTTAATATTGTCATACATCATATTCACCATCAGAGATAAACAGGACTATTTCTCACCAGCAGGAATATAATAATGTTAGATGAGGAGCTTGCTGCCACCAGATGTATGAAATGGTATAAAATATGAATAAAGGACAGAGATCTGAATATTTACAGTCTATTAAGTCAGAGCAAAATAACATTATTCATCTTTGTTGTACCAACTCTTAGGGTCAAGACTCAGCCCCTACTAGCACCTATTGGGCTGGGTAGATGGTTGGTCCACACTTATAACTAATTTTTCTTATCTAATTTGTCAGCAACAAACTGAATAAAAGGAAGTACATGCTAAGAATGTTAATGAAGCCAGTATGGTGATGTTTGTCTTTAATCCCAGCACTGGGGAGGCAGAGGAAGGCAGATGTCTGTGAGATCGAGGACAGCCTGGTCTGCACAGTGAGTTCCAGGACAGCTGGTGCTACAGGAGACCCTGTCTCAAAAAAACAAAAAAAAATATTTTTATTGAGCTGGGCATAGTGGTGTATGCCTTTAATTCCAGCACTCAGGAGGCAGAGGCAGGCAGATCTCTGTGAGTTCAAGGCCAGCCTGGTCTACATAGCGAGTCCCAGGCCAGCTGGGGCTAAAGAGAGACCATGTCTCAAAAAGACCAAAAAAATTTTATTTTTAAGTGTATGAGTGTATTGCCTGCATCTATGATAGTGCACCTATGTCCTACAATGCCCTTGGAGGCCAGAAGAGGGTGGATACCCTGGAACTGGAATTACAGATATTTGTTAACTGTCACGTGGGTGCTGGGAATCAAACCCTGGTCTTCTGCAAGAACAGCCAGTGCTCTTAACCACTAAGTAATCTCTCTAGCCCCAGTAGTGACACCCATGCAGGTACACACACACACACACACACACACACACACACACACAATTATACACAATAAGTGCAATTGTTCTATATTGCTTTCTGTGCTGTGATGAAACACCATGACCAAAAGCAACTTGAGGGACAAAAGGATTTATTTGACTTACAGGTCCTTTTTTACACATCCCAGGTCTATCTGTCCAGGGACTGCATCTCCCACAGTGCACTGAGCCCTCCTACATCTATCAGCAATCTAGAAAATGCCCCACAGACATGCTCAGAGGCAAGTCTGAGGGAAGCAATTTGTGATTCTCTTCTACCAAGTGTGTCTAGGTTTGTGTCAAGTTGAAAAAAATTAACCAGCACAGAGCCAGGTATGGTGGCGCATGCCTTTAATCCCAATACTCGGGAAGCAGAGGCAGGTGGATCTCTGTGAGGTCAAGGCCAGCCTGGTCTACAGAGCAAGTT